CATTAATAAAAGCATTGGACGTTTTTTTCCCTTCAAATCTTGCGCTCCTTGTCTTTCTTTATTATATATTGCAAAGCAGCTATTTACACACACTCACATATACAGGTCCCAATCCACTCTGGATCTCACTGGTAACGACACTGCTACTGCCAGTTATGACTTTGAAAATCCGATCAACTTAGCCGAAGACGAAGGTGAAGATGATTGCGAAGTTCCTGGTGAGCTTGCAAGACTGCTACTTCAGGAAGAGAGGGCCATTCCGCCACATGAAGAGTCGGTGGAAACAGTGAATCTGGGTACTGAGACAGACAAAAAGGAAGTCAAGATCGGTGCAAATCTGGAGCTTAGTGTGAAACAACGGTTGATTCAGATGCTGCATGACTACGTGGAAATCTTTGCCTGGTCCTACGAAGACATGCCTGGGTTGGATACTGACATCGTGATTCATCGCCTGCCTACCAAGGAAGACTTCCCTCCCGTAAAACAGAAGGTTCGCCGTATGCGCCCAGAGATGTCCGAGAAAATCAAGGTTGAGGTTATGAAACAATTTGACGCCGGTTTTCTAGCAGTGACTTCTTACCCTCGGTGGGTTGCCAATGTGGTTCCGGTACCGAAGAAAGATGGTAAGGTCCGAATGTGTGTTAACTACAGGGATTTGAACAGGGCGAGCCCTAAGGATGACTTCCCTCTGCCTCACATCGACGTTCTGGTTGACAACACTGCTCAGCATAAGGTATTCTCCTTCATGGACGGTTTCTCCGGTTATAATCAGATAAAGATGGCTCCCGAAGACATGGAGAAGACCATTTTTGTTACTCAGTGGGGTACCTTTTGCTACAAGGTCATGCCTTTTGGGTTGAAAAATGCTGGGGCAACGTATCAGCGTGCCATGGTTGCTCTGTTTCATGATATGATCCATCATGAGATTGAAGTATACGTCGACGATATGATTGCAAGGTCCCAAACGGAGGAGGAACACCTTGACCATCTACGGAAGCTATTTGACCGGTTGAAGTTGTACAAGCTGAGATTAAACCCGAACAAGTGCACCTTCGGGGTGAGATGTGGAAAACTACTAGGTTTCGTCGTAAGCGGCAAAGGTATTCAAGTGGACCCTGCCAAAGTGAAAGCAATACAAGAGATGCCAGCTCCCAAGACGGAGAAAGAAGTCAGAGGCTTTATAGGATGGTTGAACTACATTGCCCGATTCATCTCGCACCTAACTGCTACCTGCGAACCAATCTTCAAGCTACTGAAGAAAGATCAAGTAGTACGTTGGAACGATGAATGTCAGGCCGTATACTGCAAGGTTATGTTTTGATTGCACCAAAAATATTGTGGAATACGAATCTTGTATCTTGGGTTTAGAAGTCTAAGAATTAAACATCTCAAAGTGTTTGGAGACTCAACGTTAGTAATATACCAAGTCAACAATGAATAGGACACTAAAAATCCTAGATTGATTCCATATCAGGATCATGTTTTGAAGCTAGCTACAGAATTTACAAAGATTGCATTCAGTCATATTCCGCGAGAAAAAAACCAGATGGAAGATGCCTTGACAACTTTATCAACCATGTTCAAGGTAACCTGACCAAACCACGAACCACGTATTACAATAAGACATTTTGAACAACTTGCACATTGCCTTGGTTCTATGAAATCAAAAGGTATCTCGAGAAACAAGAATATCCAGAAAATGCCTATATAATTGACAAACGAACTCTGCGGAAGCTACCTTCAAAGTTCTTTTTGAATGGAAATGTATTGTACAAAAGAAACTTTAATATGGTGTTACTCAGGTGCATGAAGAAACATGAAGCAGATACACTTATGAGAGAAATCCATGAAGGTAATTTTAGAACTCATACAAATGGACATGCCATGGCTAGAAAGATCCTGCGAGCAGGTTATTTATTACTGACGATGGAAGCTGATTTCTTCCATTATACGAAGACATGTCACAAATGCCAAATCTAAGCCAACAAAATGCACGTGCCACCAACTCCTTTAAATTTCTTGAGTTCTCCTTGGCCATTTTCAATGTGGGGAATTGATACAATAGGAATGATCAAACCAAAAGCCTCTAACGGACACAAGTTCATACTAGTTGCCATTGATTACTTCACCAAGTGGGTAGAAGTTGCGTCCTATGCAAATATGACAAGATAATTGGTTACTTGGTTCATCAAGCAGAACCTTATATGCAGATATGGGGTTCCCAGCAGAATCATTACAGACAACGGGTCCAATTTAAACAACAAAATGATGAAGGAGTTATGCAATGATTTCAAGATCGAGCATCATAATTCCTCACCTTATCGACCCAAGATGAACGGGGATTTTGAAGCTACCAATAAGAATATCAAGAAAATCATTCAGAAAATGGTAAAGACATACAAACATTGGCATGAGATGCTCCCTTTCGCTCTACAAGGCTATCATACTTTTGTACGTACATCAACATGTGCAACTCCTTTTTCTCTAGTATATGGCATGGAGGTGGTACTCCCGGTTGAAGTACAGATTCCATCACTTCGAGTTCTAACGGAAACAAAGCTTGAAGAAGAAGAGTGGGTTCACACGCGATATGATCAACTTAGCCTCATTGAAGAAAAATGCTTGACAACTTTGTGCCACAGTCAGTTGTACAAAAAATGGATGAAGAAAGCATTTGACAAGAAGGTTCTTCCTCTAGTGTTCAAAGAAGGAGATTTAGTGGTCAAGAAGATTCTATTACCTCGCCTTGGTTCCTGTGGTAAATGGACACCCAACTGCAAAAGTCTGTATGTGGTAAAAATAGAATTCTTGGGTGGTGGTCTTATCCTCACAACAATGGATGGGGAAGAACTTCCACATCCAAAAAATTCATACGCAATCAAAAAATACTATGTATAAAAATCTCACTAAGTTTGAACCTTAAACGAGCGACCAATAGCAATTATCATTTTCATTGTCATTTTCAGTTTTATTAAAACTTTATATTATTACCTCTTTTAGGAATTGCATCTTGTACTCACGCCTATTCAGAGGCATATTTATCAATAAACAATTAATTTCTCAAACTTTCGATTGTGTTTTTCTTTTTTACTGGTTTTCAAAATACTACGATTATTTCATGTAAATAATGCATTGAAATCATTTTGAGGGATTTAACAAATAAAAGCATTAGATATAACATCAAAAAGAATTTTTGTTAGAAAAAAATTGAAAGAAAATCCATGCCTACGTCCATACCAACATCCATGCCTGCGATCATAGCCATATCCATGCCTACTTCCAGGTCTATGCCTACGTCCACAGCTACGTCCAAACCTCCGTCTGCGATACGGATATCAAAATCTTGCTGACCCTTGTTCATCATATTCAAATCGACTCGAAAACACCACGACAACACAACATACAATGTTGGGGGATTCGGTGACACGAAACCAATGGTTTAAAATGAGATAACATTAAAAAGTTCACATCAAGCATTTGGTGCATATATATAAACATTTGGGGCATACGCAAACATTTGGTGCATACACGAACATTTGGGGCATATACAAATACTCGGTGCATATACATTTTGGGTTCCATATCAATCTAAGGCATTATGCATATACATCGTACATTTCATTTTTCGAACACATCTTTGGTTAAAACTACGATCTTTCTTGGGGCTCATCATTGGATTATTTGGCCCACCAAAATAAACGAATACCTTGGTTAAGAACATACACAATTGGTAGACTCCGATCTTATCATTAGTCTAGCTACCTAAGATTTGATTACAAAAACACTCTTCAAATATCTACCCTCTAGCTTGTGTTATATATGTGATTTCTCGGGACTACATAATTTATCCTCTAGGTCGTGATAAATTTGTAAGGCTACTCTCGTGTCGTTTATCCTCTAGGTCGTGATAAACACACAAAATTTTCAATCATTTATCCTCTAGGTTGTGGTAGATGTGCTGTTGTACCCCAAAATTTTCCCTCCCATTTTTCATTCAAGATATTCTCCTAGGGTTTCTCAAATGCTCAAGGTGGCTCAAGGATTGATCAGACAAATTCTCCTCCTAAGCATTGATTCCACAACTAGAGTTTGGTATTTCTCAAGAAAGATTGAGTTTCCAAGGTCTCAAGTGGCTTTCATGGTGCTTCATATGTATTCAAGAATTGTCATATCAAATTTCATGCCTTGCATCACAAGTTCGCTCAGTCAATTGCTCGGATGACCAAAAATCAACTATATTGGGTAAAAAGTCAACATTTTCAAGATCAAGTTCAAACGATCATAACTTCTTCATTATTCAATATTTTTGAGGGGTTATCTTTGCTTATGACTCTCCTTGATGTCATTTCTAACTTCTCTTTACAAGTCAAGAGTTGATTATGTGTGAAAGATCATCAAAAATTCGAATGCTTTAGAGGCCGCTTTATGGGCTTTGACCTAATTTCAAGTTTTTTTTGTTGCCTGACTTCCAAGGATCGTAAATTCTATAATATTGAGCATTTTGGGACGATTCTTTTTGCATGTTGTCATAAGCAATGTCATCTACAAGTTATCTTCAAGGATCGAAGGAAAATTGTGTTTAGAAGACCTTGAAAGTTATCGAATCATCATAGGTCATTTGCTTGATTTAGAATGTTCTTAACTTCTAATTTGAATTCATGTCATAAGCATTTTCCCAATAAACTTGATAATTCATGAGGCAACAAGTTTAGTTTGAAGATTCATTAATCGTTTGTTACTCAAAGTTCAAGTCACTTATGTTTGAGCGTTAATGATTATTGGATTGGATTTTTTATTAAAGTTCTTAAGGCAGTTAATTTGTTCAAGAATTTGATTTAAGATTGGAAGGTTCATTGGGTAGAATCTTGGAGAAGGTAGTCAAGGCTAACGCCGATGCTTTGTGTGCATGCATACAAGAATAAAATGCAAAGCAAGAGAAACTAGAGTGTGACCATGTGTAGAAAATAACTAATATGATCTCCAATTACATAAACAAGGATATGCCATCTCTATTGGAGAAAATTATCAAGAAGGAAATATATTCAATTGAAACAACCATTACTCGTTCACTCAGTCAAAATATAGACAAATCAATTAATCAAATAGAAAAGTTAGTTAGTTCAAAACTTGAAGCTACAGTGGCTAGACAGATACAAGTACAATTTCAAACTATTGGAAAGCAGGCTCTTCAGGAAGCACTTAGGACTAGTGTTGAAGCTACATTAGTTCCTGCTTTTGAGAAGTCTTACAAAGCTATGTTTGAGAAAATTGACGGCACATTTCAGAATGGAATTTTGAACCATACAACTGCTATTCAACAACAGTATGGTTCTACTCATTCTCGATTAGCCATCACTTTAAGGGAAACAATTAAATCAACACCATTCATAATTCAAAAAAATTCCATTCATGTTTCTCTTGCAAAACTAAAAGTTACAAAGAAAATTACACAAATTTTTTTTTATCCTAAACCTATGTTCCTTCATTGGTCTTAAGCTTTCATCCACCATGCCAAGACTTGTCCAAACATACTCTGCACCACTATAAACCAGTCCACAAACCTCCTGCATCATTCCAAAATTCTTCTCTGCTACAAATTGCTTCAAAACCTGCACCTTCTGTCCAACCTGCACAAAACTATCAAAACAGCCTGCTTCAAAATGCCAAGGATTGCACTAAGATGGCAAGGCAATTCCTGCATCCTTAAAGTTTAAAAAAAATAGAACAACAAAGTGTTCAAACTTATCAATGTTCCCTCCTAAATTTTTGAGAAATTTGGTCTATTAAAAAGAGAGAGAGAGAGAGAGAGAGAGAGAGAGATTACACGATGGGGAGGACAAATTCTGTAAAGTAGAATACACGAAAAACTCACCAAAACTCAGCATTCTCTCTCTCTCTGAAAAAACTGCTTCAATCTTCTTCCACAATATCTTCATCTACTTGTTTCAAAAACCACAAGAATATCAATATAACAACTTCAAATTGCATAAAACACATTAGAGGCACCCGGAAAAAAATTACAAAATTGAAAAAAAATCCACCTGTTCTTCATCGTTAAATTGGTTCATCACCATCACACTCGGCCTCCTTCAGCCTCTTCATTCACCAAACCTGCAAAAACGCATCAATTTCATTCAACACTTGCAAAACCGATTCAAACAGTAATTCAACATAATACATTCAGCAACAATTTGTAGATTCCTACAAGTATCTCTTCTCCTCCATTTTCGTATCTCCGTGCTTTCTTGTTCTGAGTTAATTGTTACATGAGATTTCTTCTTCTTGGTGATATCGTAATGCTGAGATTGTTGTTGATTTTTTACCTATGAACATGAGCTTGAAACCGAGAAAATAGAGAAAACAAGGGGGTTTTGCTGAATTGCTATATTTTTTGAGAGACTGAAATTGTTCGGAACCGAAAGAGAAAGAGAGAATACGATTGAAAGAGTGAGGGAATAGATGGAAAGAGAGATCGATTGAGAAAAAAAAAAGGACAAAGGAATTTTTTATGGGATAGAGAGAAGAAGAGAATGATCGTTCTCTTTTGAGAGAGAGAGAGAGAGAGTTTTTTTGTTTTTATCTTAATTGAGTATTTTTCTGTGAGAATTAAAACAAGATTAATTTAAAATTAAAGACAAATTCTTCCGCTCTTACCAATAAACACCCATGGGTGCCTCATTCCTTGCAATTAGGGTTTCATAACAAACCCTCTCTATTCTCTCTAGTTGGATCCGGGTTGGGCATGTTTTGTTTAGCCCGGTCCAATTTTCAAACTTCAGTTTTGTATTAATGGAAGAGCCATAATACACAAAAGGATAGATGACGTAGAGGTTAGAGCGTGTGTGTATGATGTGCATGAGGTCTCGGGTTCGAGACCTCCTGGGACATTTTTTTATTCATTTTTTTGTTTTCTCATTAACCCCCCCCCCCCCCCCCCCATTCTTTTTGTATTCTTGTTGGACAAATAAATGGGCCTCAGCGCCCCATTATTTCCTAACCCGCACCCTCTTCTAGATCGACACCCCTTAGGTTCTTCATTTAAATTTCTTTTTTTATTTTGATTTCTATTTTTTTATTTTGTTTTAATATTCCATAGCATGATAAAATAATAATTTTATAATTTTTCTTTAATTTTCTATTAATATTTACTATTTCTTTACGTAAACAAATCACAAAATATTATAGTAGATTAGAATTAGGATTTAATTTCCTTTTAACTTTTAATTTCTTTTCACAAAAAAAACAATAAAATATAAAAATACAAAAAAATTGTTACATTATTTTTATTAAAATAACCAAATTATATTAGGGTACTTAATTTTATTAGTTTTAGTAAATAATTCATTTAGTAATATAATTAAGTTAGTTAGGGTAATCACTAATCACTAACTTTGTACATACTCTAATTCTCTTCGATGCAACCTCGCTATCTCGTAAATAACTCACAATACATTGTACATACTTTACTAAGTCACTAACAAAACAAAAATACAAAAAATATTATTTAGAATTCTTGAAACTTCGTACATAGATTTTATTTGATTTAATTTCCTTACTTAATGAAATCGTAAAACAATTTCCCTTTTCTTTTTATTTTCGTATAATTTATTATTTTTGCATTTTCCGATTATTGTAACTATTTACGATTTGTAATAGTTTAACTAGGTTTTTTACTTCGTCATCCACATTCTTAAATTTTTACCCCCATTCTCGAAGCATTGTAATAGCGTAAATTTTATTTCCCGCACTTTACCTTCCGCACCTATAACTATGCATGTATGTATATATAGCTGTATTGTAATTACGCGTGTATGGAAAGACATAAAACCGACTGCTAGATAACCATAAATCCAAGATAAATTAACCCAAATTAAAACACTTTGCACATGCGCATCTCTAGGGTGACCTCGCTTGTTACCTTCAGATAAAACAATCATGTCCCTCAAATGTGGGATGCTTTAGCAAAGACCCTCGATTAAAAGATCGTAGTCCCTCGGTGACCCTTCGATGCTGCCTTCAGTAAACGATCTTAGTCCCTTATGATAAATTGCTAAAGCGCCCTACGAGTTAGCTTTATGACTGTACGATGACCCGCTCCTGTCCCTCACATCCAATGATAGAGCTTCCTACTAACTAATGCTAGGATAGTACTATCTAAAGGAGGAATAAAAGAACAAAGACTTTTGAGTAGGTAGATAGCTCGTAATCGCTTGATCATACAAAAACAAAACATCTTTTCACACAAACACTTTTCTAAAATATTTTCAAAACAAACACTTTGTATGCGTTCTCAATGATACGAGAATCATTACAAAGTTTTCCGAACTTAGGCATTTTCAAAAATATTTTCAAACACACATTCACAAAGAATTTTTCAAAAGTGAGCTAGCGATTAAGAGCCGTAGATAAATACAGATGAAAAGGGTGCTAACACCTTCCCTTTTCATAATCTACCCCCCAAACTCAGATAAATCTCAAAGGTATTTCATGTTATTTTCACCCTTTCCTTTCTGGATAAAAGAAAAGTCGATGACGATTCTTTCTATCCACAACATTTGCGATAAAACACAAAACTAAAAGTCAATTCTCCCACCATATAACAGAGCTAGCGACTCTACTGAGGAAAACTAAAAGTGGGATTACCTTAGAGATAGATCACATTTAATTCTTTCATTGTTTGTTTTGCTTGCTTTACACTTCGGGATATGCTTGGGTTTATTTCTTGTATAGATCCTATACCCAGATCTGGGGGCATTTTAGGTAAGTAGTAATAGATTGTGAAAACTGTATGGCATATACCGATACGGTTGAAGTGATGGCTACATTAGTGCGACACATTGGTTGGTGTCGGTGTCCCTTGAGTCAGTCAAGGAGAATGTTGGGCTTCCATGTGGTGTAATAAAGTATTAACTGACCGTAGAACCTTAGTTGACACAACTTAGCCATTAGAAAGTAGTGAGATAGACGGCTTTGGTGCATACTGAAGTTGGTTTATACTCGATGCTACACTTATTGAGATCGGACTCTCGAGATATTTCCGTCGCAAATCAGATGCTTCTGCTGAAACAATGTCTGGGAGAAAGATCAATGATATTAAGGCTCCTAGAACTCAATTACTTCTTTTAAGATAGGTTGAGCCAACTAAAACTTCAAGAGGGTACTTACCTACAAATTCCATACAAGCTTAAACGTAAGGCCTTGTGTGTTTTGTTTGTGTATGATTAATTGTTCAAACAAGACATCATAACATCATGACATCATACCATATAATTTTCACTAATCATTTCAAGGACCAAGAGATTTATCTTTGTTCTATTTTGCAGGCTATGGCCTCCGCTCGCAGAAACGCTATCCGGATCAACTTTGTAAGGGTGCCTCCGCAGCTTAAAGAGTTAGTGTAATACGGTGGGAGAACTGAATTGAGTTTTGCATTTTATCGCAAATGTTATGGATAGCAAGAGTCGCCATAGAATTTTCTTTTATCCAATAAAGGAAAGGGTGAAAAGAATAGGAAATACCTTTGAGAATTTTCTTGAGTTCGGGGGGTAGTTTATGAAACGGGAAGGTGTTAGCACCCTTTTCATCCGTAATTATCTACAGGCTCTTAATTGCTAGCTTACTTTGAAAATAATGCTTCGTGTTTGTGTATTTTTGAAAACATTTAAAAACGCCTAAGTGCGGCAATTTTGTAATTATTCTCGTATCTTGAGAATGTATACAAAATGTTTGTTTTGAAAATATTTATTGGATGAAAGTGTTTGTTTTGGAAAGATTTTTGAAAATGCCAATGTAAAGCAGTTTGCTTTATAATAACCCTTGTATCAGTCTTCAAGAGTGTTTATAAAGCATTTTGAAAGTAGTTTTTTTTAAAGTGTGAAGTGTGGAATTTGTTTTAGTTTGTGAGCAAGCTATTACGAGCCATCTACCTACTCAAAAAGTCTTTGTTCCTTTCCTCCTCCTTTAGATAGTTCTATCCTTCCATTAGTTAGTAGGAAGCCATATTATTGGATGTGAGGGACAGGCGTGGGTCATCGTACAATCATAAAAGGCAACTTGTAAGATACTTTAGCAATTTTTATAAGGGACTAATATCGTTTCCCGAAGGAAAAATCAAAGGGTCATCGAGGGACTACGATCTTTTAACCGAAGGTCTTTGCTAAAGCATCTCGCGTTCGAGGGATATGACAGTTTAAATCTGAGGCAACATGTGAGATTACCCTAGAGGTGCGTTTGTACAAAGTGTTTTGATTTTAAGTATTTGTCTTGAGATTAGGTTTTCTAATGTTTTTTTAATCTTTCCATACAAACCTTAATTACTAACAGTAATAAGGAAAGCGGTAAGTTGCAGAAATTAAATGTCATACGCTATTACAATGCTTCGGGGATGAGGGTACAAGTTTATGAATAGGGGAGGAAAGCGATAATCCCTAATTATCTATTACAAACCTTGAACAATTACAATATTGGAAAATACTAATGTGAAAATAATGTGTGTGAATGTGGTGAAAAGGGGAAAAATATTTTAAGAAACCCTAAAAATATTTCTAAGTGTTAAGAAAATAATCTATTGTTTTTTTGTTTTTTTAGAAAATAATTGCAATATAAAATAAAAAGTTAGACCTAATTCTAATTAATTTACAATTTAATTGTTTAAGACAAATTAAAGTGTGATTAGATTAAATAATCTTTATTATCAAAAATTAATTAATTAAAATCTAAAGAATTCTAAGTATTAGAAAATATTTTTGGTGTTTTTATTTAGAAAAATATTTGATAGTATAAAATAACAAAACCTAATTCTATTTTTTTTACAAACTAATTAATAAAATAAAGTAAAGTGATTAAATGAAATTATTTTTTATTTGTCAAAAATTAAATTAACTAATTAAAAACCTAAATCTAATTTTTTTTATAATTTTTTATGATTTTATCTGATTTTAAATAAAATTATTTAAAGAGAAGAAAAATAGTTAATTAAAAAAAACAAAATTAAAAAAGAATTTAATGGGCCTGAACTGTAAAAGCAAATGGGGGGTGAGAAGTAGCAAAAAAATTCCAGGCCTAAGATAGAGAGCCCAGGCGCTGTTTGGATCTGGTGTGGCCAATCCTTGATGGTTCATGGTGGAAGGTGGTTCATGGTGGAAAGGCACATTTGAAACATCTAGATCAGGCTTGATGAGATCTAATTGTGTTGATGAGGGAGTGTATCATGTGAGCTTGTGACTTGCATGTACCTGATTAACAAAGAAAACATTAAAAAATAAAATGCCAGAGGCAGGGATCGAACCCCTGCCCTGGTACACTAACGCTCTACACACACACGCTTGCCACTAGGGTGACGGTTACATTCGGTCATAATACCACTTGAACTAAATATATTATAAATTCATTTTCAAATTTTTGAATTCCCACTTCTTCTTCTTCCTCGCACCAGCAACAACAACAACAACATTTTGGAACTTTGTAAAAGCTTCATTTCTCAACCAAACACGAAAGTATAAACATGAAACTTGCTCAGAATTTCTTCACGAATTCAACCGTATAACTATAAAAATCTATATATCAATGGT